TCTCTCACACACACACACACACACACACACACACACACACCAGCAGCCTCACCGGATTAGGGCTCCCCACTGCTCGCCCCCCTCCATCCGCGGTCAATCCCTCCCAGCGTTTCCCTCTCCCCGCTTCCAGCGCCCACCCCGCGTCTAAGGCGGCGCCTATATAACCGAGTCCCGGGCGGGGCGGAAAGGAAGTGTTGGCCTGGGAAAGGGGGGGGGCACCTAAACGCCAACGCTGCCTCTGCTGCTGCTTCTTCTCCATTCAGCCAGGGGAGCGGCGGAGCCTCCGGAGGGCGAAGTTTTTGGAGAGGAGAGGGGGCTGTCGCTGGGGCGCCCCCTGCCCATCATACCCCACCCCCCTTTAGGGCTCTGAGCCTTGCTCCGACTCAACCCCCATCTAGCGCGGCTGTGAGACTCTCTCTCTCTCTCTCTCTCTCTCTCTCTCTCTCTCTCTCTCTCTCTCAAACGGGTGCTTTCTTCTCTCCCTTCTGCATTGGGAAGAAACCAAGGCTCATCCCTTTCATTTTGGGAAGGCTACAGTTTTGCAAGCCTCCCCTTTCTTTTGGTACCCGTCGGCTCAGCCTCTCCTAGGCGGATTCTTTGTGCTGCTTACTCTCCCCCTCTCCTCTTCCTCCTCTTCCTTCTCCCTTTCCTCTCCCCCACTCCTCCTCTTCCTCCTCCTCCTCCCCGCCGGCTTTCCTCCCCTTAAGTGCTGAAATACTTGCAAGAAACCCACGGAGTCGACTCCTTTCCCCTTGGACGCCCCATCCTTGCAAACCTTAGGATCGCGAGTCCAGCCTTCTGGACCTCTCTCTCTTTTCCCTTTTTTGGGGTGGGTGGGGGGGGTTGCTTAGGGCGGCTCACATTTCCTTCCCCCCCCCCCCGCCCCCCCCCCCCCCCCCCCCCCCCGCCCAAGGAGTTTCGTCAAAAGAGTCGGAGCGGGGACCATTTTCCCCTCTCCCCGCTCCTCTTCTTTGCTGATCTTCACCACCCCATACCCCCAAAAAGCCCCCGAGATGGGCTGCACCCTGAGCGCGGAGGACAAGGCGGCGGCCGAACGGAGTAAGATGATCGACCGGAATCTCCGAGAAGACGGAGAAAAAGCTGCCCGGGAAGTCAAACTCCTACTCCTGGGTAAGGAGATACTCCCAGAAGCAGTCTCTTTGGGGTCTTCTTCCATCCCTCCCTCTCCCCAGCCAGGCCTGGCAAGCGATCCTCTGCATTGTAGTGTGTGTTTACCCATGTAGTATGGCTCTAGCATTATTATTTCTATGTAGTATGGCTGTAGTATTGTTATGTATAGTTCTTACCTTCTTTACTACCCGTTCTTACTGGTATTATTGTTATGATTATCCTTAATAATCAATCATATAATAAGCAGAGACAATTTGTGTGTCGGATCACACTTGTCAAATAAACCTATTCTATTCTATTCTATTCTATTCTATTCTATTCTATTCTATTCTATTCTATTCTATTCTATTCCTTATTCTATATTGTCTTCTCATTCCTTCTTCTCTTCTCTCCTCTCTCCTCTCTTCTCATTCCCTGCTCTATATTCTATATTCTACATTCTTCTTTTTCTTTTTCCTTTTCTTCTTCTTTTTCTTCTTCTTCTTCTTCTTCTTCTTCTTTTACTCCTTTTCTTCTTTTTCTTTTTCTTCTTCTCCTCCTCCTCCTCCTCCTCCTTCTCCTTTATTTTCCTATTCTTTTCTCTTCTTATTCTTTCTTTTCCTATTTTCTCATCTCTTCCTATTCTTAGTCTCTATTTTCTTCTCTAGCCTCTTGTAAAATGGAGCAAAACTCACTCAACCAATGTTCTCACTTAGCAACATAAATGTTGGGCTCTGTTATACCTGTACCTAGAAGACTCGCTGTGGGTGAAAACAAATACAGGAATAGGACATTTACATTCAAAATTGAGAGAGAGGGGGGGGGAGAGAGGATGGACAATGGAACAGCTTGCCTCCTGGAGTTGTGGTTGCTCCATCGCTAGAGGTTTTTAAGAAAAGATTGAATAATAAGATAAAGGTTCTGGGATGGCATAAAGTCTCCTGCCTTGGGCAGGGGGTTGGACTACAAGACCCCCAAGGTCCCTTACTACCCTTGAATTCTATAGAGGGAAAGAGGGAGCATTCCTTGAACATCTGGAAAACAGCTGATGTGGAATAGCCATTATTAGTAGCTTTTCTCCTCCATCTCTCTCTCCCTTCCCCCTCAACCATTCATATGTTTTTCATTTCCTCAATTCCTTTCCATCTTTTGGATCCATTAGCCCACCCTTCCTAAGCATAGGGAATTCTGGGAGTTGTAGTTCTTAACACTAAATAGAAAGCACAAGGTAGGAAACACTACATTAAATCATTGCTTCTAAAGTCAAACAGCATGCAGTAAAGCTGTTAGTAGTTCCCCTGACTGAATATCTATTTTCTTTTTCCCCTTTATGCCAAGGCCTCTTTCCCTTCTCAAAGCAGAAAAATCCAGAGAATATGCGAATTTCTTAAAATACTTTGCTACGGTTTTGCTCCCACAAGCCAACACAAGTACTTCCTTTAAAAGCTTCCACCATGGTGTGTGACTCTATTGTTGCATTCTGTTGTGTATAAACAATATGATTACCTCAGTCAAACACTTCCTTTTATTGTCAAGAAACACCTGCGCTGGACAATCAACACGGCTAAACTTTCACATTGTTAATTGCAAAATCTGTTTCCTGAAAGAGGAGTTTGAGTGAATTCTATGGGACGTAGAACTTAGTGCATAACTAAGTCAGACCTTGGGTCCATATTTTAGGTGGTTCTAGAGTTATGACCACAAGTGAGCCCAAAATTCCTGTTGCTAAGCAAGACATGTGTTCAGTCAGCTTTGCTCCATTTTCTTGCCCCCGTTGTTAAGTGAATCTCTCCAGTTCTTGAAGTTAGTAACCTGGTTGTTAAGTGAACCTGGCATCCCCATTGACTTTGCTCGTTGGAGTAAATATAGAATCAGTTGCCAAGTGTCTGAATTTTGATCATGTGACCAAAACGGGGATGCTGGGACAGTGGTAAGTGTGAAAAGTGGTTATAAGTCACTTTTTTTGGTGTCATTCCAACTTCCAACTGTCACTAAACAAACTGTTCTAAGTCAGGGGCTAGCTGTTGTCCCTTGTTATTTACAAGGTCCCTCAAAACATGCAACCTCCAAAGAATTGTGGGTATCATCCGTGTGTGTGTTGCAAGCTTGCAAGTTTATCTGAAAGTCTGCCTCATTGTGTTTAGTGTCAGGGTTCCAGCAATCACCCTAATTAAATCATGATTCTGGAGCCAAACTTCAAAAAATGTCAAAGGATTCATTAGAGGTGACATAATGGCACTGCCCTGTATGAAGGCAACTCTGGCATAGGTAATTTACAGTCCCATGTGACCCCATTTCCTCTCCCCCCCCTGGGTGTGTCATAAATCAGATTCTCCAATTGAGCATGGGCTGGGTGTCATCATTCACGTTCTCCAATTAAATATATTTGTGGGCAAAAGCTCTGGTATTTTAGTTACAATCTTTCAAAGATAAAAGTTGGAATGTACTTTCACTTTCAAACTGCTCTTCCAGATTCCCTTCCTCCTCCTCCCTTTTTTTATGGCAACTACTAAAACAGGCATAGGAATGTTTTATGAGTTGACATTCGGCTCCTCTTACTTCTGGAAGGTGGCCTATATAAAGCAAAACAAATTGAGTGCAGGTATAGAATTTAGGGTCGTGAAGCACCCCCTTGGCTTGGTTTGATTTTCTGCATGGAATCTTGCTATAAGGCAATCAGCCTGGAGGTTCCTACTCTTTACCCAAGATGCCTCTGATAATGGGTAGCCCTTCCACTTGATTAAGTATTGAACTCTTGTGCCACCTCAAATCAAGGATTTGCTGCACCTCATAATGGGTTTGGCCTCCTATGACCACAGGGTCTGGGGCTCATGAGGTAGGGGCCTCAGGATCACAGGTTGCATTTGGTAGAATCCTTGCAAGAACATCATTGTCTAACTCTGCTCTTTGCTCACTGCATAATTTTTGCAACCTCTTGTCTTTAATTGTCCCTTAGGAGAAAGCTTTCATTTAGATCTCCAGGAGAAAGGGAAGGAGGATCTTATAGAAGAGAATATCTGTAGCTCACGGTTGAAGCTCCTTGGTGCTCCCTGAGCTTGGTGGTTTTCTTGCAAATATTTTAATATCAACTAGGTAACAAATCAACTCAGACATGCAAGTTATCAGTAAACAGTCTAATAAAGGAGCCAGCAAGAATGCTTCCATTGACATTGACAGGGCAAGCTGTTAGTATATAAACAAAGAACAAACACCACTGCCTTCTAGCACTGATGATGTTACCTAGTTTGGTAATGAAATGTTTTCAAGAAAGTCACAAGCTTAAAGGGCACCAAGCACCAACATTAAATGGTCCTATTACTGTGTTTTCCCAAAAATAAGACCCTGTCTTATATTTTTTTGCCACCAAAAAAGGCACCAGGTCTTATTTTGGAGGGATGTCATCCACTGACTAACCTCACTTGCGCGCATCACCCCCGGCCTCCTTTTCAGAGGCCTTCAGGAACTTCTTCTTCTGTGGCTGGCAAAGTTTTCCTGAAGGCCTCTATGCTGATAACAAGCTCAGCTCCAGAGGCCTTCAGGAAAGCCTTGCCAGCTGCAGAAGAAATGGGCTGGCAAGGCAGGTGTCGGGGTGTGCGAGGCCTGGCTACAACTGTCCAAAGGTAAGTAGTAGGGCAGCTCCATCCCACCATCCCCACCCTACCTTAATTTTTACCCATCCACTCTGGAGTGGGCAGGATCTTAATTAGGGCTTATTTTGTGGGTAGGGCTTATATTGTGCACACATGTAAAAATCAAGCTAGGACTTACTTTCAGGGTAGGTCATATTTTTGGGGAAACAGGGCAGACAATTGCACACAGTTGTCATATCATTAATTTTCCTTTCCCCAGCCTGAATACTTTCTGTTTGTTCAGAAATGTTTGTTACTACTGATTGGTCTCTTCTCCCTAATCTGTCACTCTCCCCCATCCTTCTTAAAACATGTCATCAAAAAATGGACCCAACCATTTTCAATATGCATCCTAATCCGCGCCATTCAAAGTTGGTACTATTATTTGTAATAATATGTTCAGGATTCTTGTGTTTATATATATAGAGAAATATATAACATAATTGTTTTTCGGCCAGAGTGACTTGTTTCCAATAAATTGATTTAGCTAGATTTTCATATTTAATCCTTAAATTTGCTAGCTGTGTTCCTTTCGGCCTAGGCTGACAACAGGTCCTGTAGTTCCCAGTTAATTCTGTTTTAGATCTGGGGTAATACCATTTAGATTAATAAAACTATTTTTCAACAGGTGGTAGATCTTCTACATTTATCTTCTTGTAGTAGGAATTTAGATCTTGTTAGAAATGACAATGAAAACATTGTTGTGATAAAATAGCTCATCACTTGTAATATAGGAACTATTGTTCTGGTTTATGTGAATTTTTCTAGGCTGATGTTTATGTTATACAAGTGTTTCCAAATGGAAATTCAGTTCTTTTTATTGCCCTATAAAGCTAAACTAAATCCATGAGAAACAAAAATGAAAAAATGCTAACCAGTTATGTATTATCAATGAGTTCTTGTATATTATTATTATTAAAATGTACAAATCACAAAAATTTGTTTTGACTTCAGATTAAAACCCAATGCAAAGTTATGTCATAACTTGGATTAAAGTTATAAAGTTAGGCCAAATAAAGTTATGTCATAACTTTGTACTAGACTACCCCTGATGTACTTTGGCTGTGTCATGTGTGCGAATTCATTGGAGAAGGCAATGATGCTAGGGAATGGTTAATGGAACAAGAAGGGGAAAGCTAAGAACAGGCTGGCTCAGTAATGTCAAATCTGATACAAAGATGAACATTATAGATTAACAGAGTTGGAAGGGATCTTGTAGGTCATCTAATCCAACCCCCCACCCAAGCAGCAGACCCTACACCATTTCTGACAAATAGGAGTCCAATCTCTTCTTGAAAGCCTCCGGTAATGAAGCTCCCACAACTTCTGAAGGCAACTTCTATTCCATTGGTTGATTGTTCTCATTGTCAGGAAATTTCTCCTTATTTCTAGGTTGAATCTCTCCTTATTCAGTTTCCATCCATTATTCCTTGTCTGGCCTTCAGGTGCTTTGGAAAATAGCTTGACACTTTCCTCTCTGTGGCAGCCCCTCAAATATTGGAACACTGCTATCCTGTCTCCCATGGTCCTTCTCTTCACTAGACTAGCCAGGCCCAGTTCCTGCAACCATTCATCGTATGTTTTAGTCTCCAGCCCCCTAATCATCTTGGTTGCTCTTCTCTGCACTCTTTCTAGAGTCTCAACATCTTTTTATAGTGTGGTGACCAAAACTAGATGCAGTATTCTAGGTGTGATCTTACTATGGTTTAATAGAATGGTATTAGTACCTCACTTGATCTTGATTGAACATTTTTTGTTGAACATCAAGAGTTGATGTTGATGTTTTGAACATTTATTTTATTTATTTTTATTTGTCAATCGCTTACAAAATAATAGGTATAAGTATAAACATGAGTAAGAATACAGAAAATAGGTACGATTAAATGGGGACAACAGGACACGGACGGGAGGCACGATGGTGCACTTATGCATGCCTCTTACAGACCTCCAACAACGACAATTGAAGGAAGCGATGGAGAGCACTTGCCTCCAAAATCACCAAGAGTCAGACATGACTAAATGGTTAAAAACAACAACAAAATTAGATGTATTTAATTCATCAGATGGTGGTTTACTTAGTGAATCAACACCCTGTGTAGCCTTTGCCCTAAAGAGGCTGCAACAGATGACTCATTTCTGCTTTTTTGTTTCAAAGAAGAAAATCCACCCATTTGCAGTGCAGTTTTGATTGGGGTTGAACTAAATAGATAAATGAGGCAGAACCAGTAAAGAGATGCAGTGGTTAGAATGCAGTATTGCAGGCCGGGCTCTGCCCACTGCCAGGAGTTCAATCCTGACAGGCTCAAGGTTGACTCAGTCGTCCATCCTTCTGAGGTTTGTAAAATGAGGACCTGGATTGTTGGAGGGCAAGAGGCTAACTCTGTAAACCATTTAGAGAGGGTTGTAAAGCACTATGAAGTGGTATATAAGTCTAAGTGCTATTGCTATCCCTCCCTCCCTCCCTCCCTTATTCCCTTTCTCATTCTCCTTCCTGATAGCGCAGTGGTTAGAATGAAGTATTACAGGCTGACTCTACTCACAGCCTAGAGTTCGATCCTGACTGGCTCTAGATTGACTCAGCCTTCCATCTTTCCAAGGTCAGTAAAATGAGGACCCAGATTGTTGGGGACAACAGGATGACTCTGTAAACTGCTTAGAGAAGGCTGTAAAACACTGTAAAGTGGTACATAAGTCTGGGTGCTATTGTTATTACATACTATACCCTGTGAGCCATGCCCCCATATAACATTGAAGACGATGTCTATATTTAAAATAGTATATATCAAGGCTGTTTCAACAATCTGCTTTAAATGGATACCTCGTTTGTTGTGATTATTAAACAGCTGGAAGCAAGCTTAAACTAGTGTGAGTCATCCAATAGTTTATTTGATCTCAGTATGTCATTTGTCTACCTCTTAAATATATAACATTATATTTTATGGTGTGTTTCACTTACATATTTAGGTAACTATATGGAAGAGTGGTATGTGGAGTTTGTTTTCCTATAGGCATCAAATCCTATTAATAATCTGAATTATATAAATAAATAAATAAATATGAAAGTAGGGAGTGGTGCGGTGGCCTAGAAGTGGAGCTTTTGCCTCACAATCAGGAGTTTGATCCTGGGTAGAGGCAGATATTTCTCTCTCTGGACACGCTGAGAGTATATCTGCTGAACAAAACTCTGCACTGGTGACAGGAAGGGCATCCGGCTATTAAAACACTGCTAGCTCCATATAGTTGCCCAGACTTCACCCTGCAAGGGATTATGGGGTCATTAAAAGATGATGTTGATATAAATAAATATGCAAGTATGTATAAGATATATTCAGGAGCATCTGTCTTTCCCTCATAGTAGCATTGTCCAAAAAGGAATTAATTCTGTTTCAATCTTAAATCTGATTAGCAACTTAATCAGAGAATCCTTTATTTGGGTTGTGTGCTTTTCCTAGAGGGTTTTCACAAACAATATGCCATTAGTTTACTTCTTGAATATATAACCATAAATATAATTGCTATATATTCAAGTAGAAAACTAATGGCATATTGAGGTCAAATAGATGATTGGATGATTGTAAACACCTTTAAAACAGCAGATTTTACATGCTTTTTCCTGAGTTGCAACATTAACACAATCTGTCAGAGTCTGAATCCGAGGAGGAAGACAAACAGATGACAGGGAGTGGGAGTTGGCTGTGGAGGAAACTGGAGAAGGGCAAAATCTGGCTGGGCAGAGCAGGAAAGAGGTAGAACAAGGGAGAGGGAGTTCAGAGGAAGACTCAGGCCCACCCCCTCTTCATCCTAGGGCACGCAGGGAGGAATGGAGAAGAGAGCAACATGGGTTGCATGGCTTACGGGGGAGGAAAGGGCCCTGATTCCCTTCATTAGCCACAGCTGGGGAGAGATTTTAAAAGAGATGCATGCTGAGTGCATCAGCTGTTGGGAGCAAACATGAGTTTATCTTGTGTTGTCTTTGGTTATCTGTTGGCATCCTCCCAACTGTGTTGAATTACTACCATTCCTTCACGTCTGGAATTCCTTCTCTTGCCCTGTTGGACTAATGACCTCCTCTTGCCTTGATTAGACTTATAGTTACAGTTTTTGTTGATCACATTTTGAACTTGATTCTCTGCAGCCAAAGGCTGTTCCTGGGAGAGTTTTTTTTCCAGCCCAGCAGGTAACCAGGACATTGGGGGCAAAGTTGGAGCTAATAAAGGGACTCCTACTGATTATTTGACTGTGTTGCCTTTGTGTCATGCCCCAGGTCATCAACAAACTTTTGGCATTTATCTTTATGCAATAAAAAGTAGAATAGAATATTCTTTAGAATAGAATATTCTTTATTGGCCAAGTGTGATTGGACACACAAGGAATTTGTCTCTGGTGTATAAACTCTCAGTTTTAATTTAATTCAATTTAATTAATTTAATTTAATATAATTTAATTCTCTATTAAATAGTGCCTTTTTATTTTTGGTCTTAGACCTCTGAAAAGTAGAAATAGTCTTCTCTTAGCTGGAACTGTATTCTCCAAATAGCAAAGCCATTAATTCAAATAGCAAGAAAGTGTTGGGGGAAGTCAAAACAAATCCTGATTTTTCTTTTCCAGTTGGCTGAACAGCTTATGCGATGTAAGATAAGTATAGATCTTGATTTAACTAAGGAACAGTAGAGTACGATTGATGTTCAGAAAACCAATCTAGCTTATCTAAGTGAGGAAGAATAAGTGGGTTATAAAAATGTCAGAGATTCCAGGAAGGAATTGGAATACGTGTTAAGGGATTGCTGATTCCCTTTTGAAGGGGGAAAGGTTTGTTTGGTGTTAATACAGAATATGGGCCAGAAAATTTGATCCACATTCTAAGATGGTAACTCTCAGAGTTTAGAGATGCATTAAACCAGTAGAGGGCTGTTAGATAAGGAGTGCAATTTTCAGCTGTTTAAAAATACGTGAAGGATTGTGTCTACAATGGGGGAGGTGGTGTGACGGACTACAATGAATAGACAGTTTCCTGGGAAGAAGGGAACACATTTCAAGGTGGGGAGGGAAACACAGACAAGAGGTAGCACAGCCTAGAGCTGGCTAGGAGAATGATACAGATTAACAGATACTGCAAAATCCCCCTTCCCTCCCCACCCCACTAACCTGTTTTCCAGCTCCGTTCTCCTGTGCAGGGCAACAAAAGACCCACCCGATCAGCTGGGACTTGGGAGGCAGTGAATACACGGGGGTGAGACCAGTCAGAGGTGGGATTTGCCAGTTCTCCAAACTACTCAAAATTTCTGTTACTGGTTCTCCAGAACTGGTCAGAACCTGCTGAAGACCACCTTTGGTGCTTTCCCAAAAGCAATTGAAATTTCTTGGGTTTTTTTTCCCTTGAAAAAGTTTCACTTCTCATTCAAGAAACTTCTGAAGAACTTTTCCTGAAGTTCTTCGGAAGAAAACTGAAGTTCTTCAGAAAGCTTCTTGGATGAGAAGCGAAACATTTTCACGGGGAAAAAAAATACCCCCAAAATTCAATTGTTTTTTGGAACAACAGCTCCATCATTTTCTTTGATACTAGCCAGTACACTTTTTCCAACTCCTGCAAAATCAGTCAGACAATCAATCAACCAACCAACCAACCAACCAATCATATAGCTCACAGTCCACAGGTCCAAATTGTACCTGTCCCTTTAAAAAAATGAAATTTTGTTCAAGGTAAGAGCTCCTGTGGCTTTTTTTTTTTAAAAAAAATACAGCTCAATTTGACCTCTGGACTTGCATCAGCTTTTCCAGAGAGGAAATATGATCAGATGAGCTAATGCTACTACATTCCTTTATTTAGAATATTTCCCTTAAATAACTCATTGTGTCTTTCTGGGGTTCTTTTTAGGAGCTGGTGAATCCGGAAAAAGCACAATTGTCAAACAAATGAAGTAAGTATGCTTAAGCGTGAGGATATAAACTTAGGGAAGTCAGGAAACAATGTCATTAAACTAAAAGGTGATTTTGGTTTTCTTGATCAGAATTATCCACGAAGCTGGATATTCCGAAGAAGAATGTAAACAGTATAAAGCAGTTGTCTACAGTAATACAATCCAGTCCATCATTGCTATCATAAGAGCTATGGGTAGACTGAAAATAGATTTTGGAGATTCAGCCAGAGCTGTAAGTATTAACTTTTTAAATATCCCCTTTAAATACTATCCTTAATTCTGAAATTTAGAATTCAGAAATTCAGGAACTTTGATATTCCTGCTCCTGTATATCCATCCATCCATCCATCCATTTTTATCTTTTCCGATTAATTTCTGGTTGGGCAAAACAAGATCAATTTTCATATCTCTAAATTCTGAAAAGTAAAGGAATAGAATAGAATAGAATAGAATAGAATAGAATAGAATAGAATAGA